GGGGGGGGGGGGGCGTGGGGGATGGGGAAGAGATGGAGGAGGAGGAGGAGGAGAAATGGTGGATGATGGAGAACGAAGAATGATGGGGTGCAGGATAAATGTGATGGCGACGAGACCACTCTGAGAGAGGAGATGGACAAGAACAAGAACCAAGCTGGAAGCAATTCAAACCGCTTCCCTGGCTGTCACTGGGGCGGTTGCCTTGAATTGGCTCAATCTCCTTGATCCTTGAAATCGTTCAAACTGGTTTGCTAATCCCCCACTTGACACCTCGAGACATGCACGACTTTTGCTTTCAAGCGAGATGGCCAGATGACGAGGACGAGGACGAGGACGAGGAGCGAGTTGCTTGTCGGCGGCGGGAGGGGGGAGAAAAGGCGGGGGGGACCAGAGATGATGGCCAGAGACGCGGCGTCGCAGCAACGCACCGACGCAGGGTTCGATTCGGGTTGGTGGCTTGCAAACGAGGCGTCTTGTTCAGGACCTCACTCGCCGGTACCGCTATTTTCTTTCCACGGAGCAGGCGGCTAACGGCTGACCGCTGACGGCTGTCTGTGACGGGGCGGCGGGGGCGGCGGGGGTGGCCGACACAAGAAAGAAAGAAAAAAAAAGGTAAAAAGCCAAGTGGCGATGATATGCAAAGGTCGGGCGGGGCCTGGTGGAGGCCGTTGGACGAGGCGTATGAGGCGTGGTGTTTGTGAAGGATCCAAGGAATCAAGGTCAAGCCAGCGTTCCCGCTTTATCAGGGCGATCTTGAAGAGAGGCTGAAGAGAGGCTGAGGAGAGGCTGAAGAGAGGCTGCGAGTTGTGGTGGATGAACGGGGTAATGGGTGGAATGGCGGGGGTGGTGGCGGCCAGGTGGTAGGTGGGTGGGAGCTGAGGGGGAGCTGAGAGGAGGAGGAGGAGGAGGAGGAGGAGGTATGTATTATAAGATGATGTTTGACTAGATGGACATGATGGAATGCACAGTGCGAGGGAGAGTAGCAAGGATTGAGGCGGGATGGAGAGAGAGGGGGAGTGGGAGGTTGTTGATACAGGACAAAGATATGATGATCCAGCTGACTGCTAGGTTGAATGTCTGTGGTTGGAGAGATTATTGCAGCGGAGGCGGAGAGCGAGAGAGAGGGAGAGAGACGCGAGAGAGGTCAGCTGGGAGGCATACAAAAGGCGGTCATGGGCGCTAATAGAGTCTGGAGACTGAATACTCGCCAAGGAGGCGGCTGGAGGGGCCGGAGGGGGCCAAGGAGGAGAGGAGAGGGAGACGGAGGAGACTGAGACATTGTCGGTATGCAGCCCGACGAGTGGATGCCAGGCTCAGGTGCTGCGAGCTGCGTACTTGGGAAAGAGATCCAGACGAGCGAGAGGTCGCAGGCGCTGAGGTGAGCATCCGCCCACCCGAGCCAAGGCTCCCTCGGGACTTACGGCACGGCCGACGTCGGACCCGCCCTGTTGGCCTCGAGGCCCAAGATCTTGGGCCGATGTACAGTAGAATGGGCACAGGGGAGCGTGATGCGTCGTTCCTAGTGTTCCTAGCATGTGCATGTGTCTTGAGCAAGAGGCAGTGGGGAGTGAGCAGTGAGTGAGCAGTGAGAGACCAAGAGGTCCTCCTATTCATGACCGTCAGCAAGCTCTAGCGCTCTATGGTTCCTCCCTTCAACTGTCCTTGTGTACGCTGTCTCTTCTCTCTCTTTCTCTCCGTCTCTGTACTCTCTCCTTCCCCTTTCATACTCTCTCTCCCCCGCCACGTCTACTTACCCCGCCTCCAATTGAGCGCGCTACTACTCTTGACGTCGACGGCAAGTGGAGCAAGAGCCACAGAAGGAAAAGAGGCCGAACTCGGGAAATTTACTCTCCGGTTCGTGATGCTGATCCCTGCATGCCGTTCCTGTTGACCCTAGTATCCCCTGCATACCCTGCACAGCCCTCTGGTCTACAGTCATCCATTTTTGCTCCCGTCAACGAGCGGGGGCTATTTCTTGGCCATCCTCCTCCACCTTTTCCTCCTCCTCCTCCTCCTCCTCCTCCTCTTCCTCCTTCCTCATCTCCGTCTCCGTCTCCGTCTCCTCTACACCCCCCCCTCTGCATATCATCCCCTCCTCAAATTACATTCCAACATCAATACACTCCTCATCTGCAAATATCATTGAAGACTCCAGGAATGACCACCGGCGTTTGGTCCCAGGGCACCCAGGGAGTTTCAGGGGAACGGAAAACCGGACCCCTCTCTCCCTTCTCCCCCCTCCTCGGTTCGCCCCCTGGCCCCCCCCCCCCAGCGGAAAGCTAAAAGTGGGGCGGATCCAGTACTGGCACGACCCGAGAGCGAGAGCTCACGACTCCGTCTGCTGTCTGCTGTCTGGCATGTCTGGCCGATGACTGATGACGGCCAGCCTGCCCAGCTGGCTCTGGCACAAATAGCATCGGCACCCGCCGCCCGGATCCGCCGTCTGCCGCGACACGGCGTCGGCCTGGTCCGACGCCTCGGATCCGGCGCGCAACCGTGAAACGCGGCGGGCGCATCTTGCTCGTCTTGTCTTGTCACTAGCCATCGCGCTCTGCGTCCGCGTTCCCATCCCCGTGCTCTGTCGTCACAAAAAAAAAGAGATTGTCAAGGCCTTGAACCGGCCGAACGAGACAGTGACGTCCCAGGCTACGGAACCAAACAGTGATGTCAGGTGACGTCAGGCGGGAACACGGAAGCTTTTGGCGACATGCATACCACTCGTTTACGAGCATGGGTGGTCGCGGCGCGTCGGCGGCGCGGGGCGGGGG